TTGTATAGATATTGAAAATATGATCCTACTATGGTCAGGACACTTGCCTGAACCTCAAGAGACCTGGGTTCAGTTCCCTGATCTGCTACAGAGCCTATGCCGGTATAGCTACTTCGTGTAGACATAGTGTAAATTGGGTCCTGAGGCCTACCATGTATTAGAGGTGAACCCTTTCCCACAAAACAACCTGCCCCTGCTGAGTCAAGAACCTAAAATGCTAAATAAATGCTTAGTACAACCCCCATTTAGTCTAAGTATTTGTGGAAGGTGTCAAAACAACTGGGTAAGTGGTGTGTGAGTGTGAAAATGACTCATGAGGAATGTGGTGTATTACCGTAATTTAGATATGAGGGGTTTTTTGGCTGTTGAGGGAGGGGACGGGAGCTCAGATAAATGTAGCTGTTCTGAATGTGTGAGAAGGTATTTCAAGGGTGGCTCTTGTTTGACTGTAAAATATTTATTTTTCATTTTTCTGATACAGGCACATGGAAAAAAAGCAAACATGGCATAGACATTTGTATCTGCTATACAGAACCAAGAAAATGGAGGGGAAAATATATAAAATAAACAAACCAGTTCATTTAGCGCTGATGTTGCATGGTTTCTTCAGAACACAAAACTCACAACTTCTGTATTAGAACAATAATGATTATCAATCATGGAACATCTGGACTCTAGATGCTCTCCTTGCAATCATTCGTTACATTTCCTTAGATGAAACATCTGGCACTACCAGTCACTTTACAGGGTTTAGTTCTACACTGGAATAAATAGTTTGAGTTTTATTTGGCATGGAAATAAGTCCTAGAAACCAAACAGAACCACAAATATAGTTCAGTATGCTAAACAAATTTGGCTCCAGAAAATACATGTGGCGTTCATTTGCTGTCATAAAGCTTCCTACATCCAGTTCAGAAACAGGGTTACACTGCTGAACCAGATACCTGAAATCAGGTTTCTGCTCCTTCTTTCTTCTCCATATGCAGCACATTTCTTGTCCGTCTTCCATGGTAACATATCACTCTCTACATTACTGTACTATGCTGACATGACCTGACTAGTATGCCCTTTACCAGACAGAATCAAGATTTGCAGAGTTTAGCATGTTTATGTGGCATTGTCAATCTACTTTTCATCTGCATTGATCAGTATTTTTAAAAAATACATTACTGTGCTAATCAAGGGAAATTAAGCCATGAATTGTCATACCAGATGGATGAAACAACAATTTTGTTCATGTTTCAGAACAGAGATCCAAAAATGAAAGGTCTTCATAACAACACTATGCTTGGGGGGAAATTTCTCTGAATGTCTGTGTAGGAAAAGATTCCAGAGTGGTAGCCATGTTAGTCTGTATCAGCAAAAAGAACAAGGAGTATTTGTGGCACCTTAGAGACTAACAAATTTATTTGAGCGTAAGCTTTCATGAGCTAAAACCCACTTCATCAGATGCATGCAGTGGAAGATACAGTAGGAAAATGTATATACACAGAGAACATGAAAAAATGGGTGTTGCCATACCAACTGTAACGAGGGTGATTAATCAGCCACACTTTCAGAGGCTCGTTCACCTGCACATCTACCAATGTGATATATGCCATCATGTGCCAGCAATGCCCTTCTGCCATGTACATTGGCCAAACCGGACAGTCTCTACGCAAAAGAATAAATGGAAACAAATCAGACATCAAGAATTATAACATTCAAAAACCAGTTGGAGAACACATCAACCTCACTGGTCACTCAATTACAGATCTCAAAGTCACAATACTCCAACAAAAAAACTTCAAAAACAGACTCCAATGAAAAACTGCAGAATTGGAATTAATTTGCAAACTAGACACCATTAAATTAGGCTTTAAGACTGGGAGTGGATGGGTCATTACACAAAAGAAAACGGTTTTCCCATGCTAATTTTTCCCCCCTCTGCTACTCTCACCTTCTTGTCAACGGTTGGAAATGGACCATCCTGATTATCACTACAAAAGTTTTTTTTCTTGTGCTGATAATAGCTCACCTTAATCACCCTCGTTACAGTTGGTATGGCAACACCTATTTTTTCATGTTCTCTGTGTATATATATTTTCCTACTGTATCTTCCACTGCATGCATCCAATGAAGTGGGTTTTAGCCCCTAAAAGCTTATGCTCAAATAAATTTGTTAGTCTCTACGGTGCCACAAGGACTCCTCATTGTTTCTACCTTGAATTGTCCCTTAGACTATGTGCTAACTACTTATGCTAAACAATCTGCACTGCATTTATTTGAGATGCTTGGAGTACCTTTCCCAGACCAGAAGAAGAGCTCTGTGTGGCTCAAAAGCTTGTCTCTCTGACCAACAGAAGTTGGTCCAATAAAAGATATTACATCACCCACCTTGTCTCTCTATACAGGAGCAGGTATAAATACATGAAAGGATGGGGGTTGCTTTACCAAGTGTGAGATCAGTCTAATGAGATAAATCAATTAACAGCAGGATACCAAGGGAGGAAAAATAACTTTTGAAGCGGTAAGAGAGTGGCCCGTTACAGACAGTTGACAACAAGGTATGAGTAACAGTAGAGAGAAATTAGTACTGGGGAAATTAAGTTTAGGTTTTGTAATGACCCAAGCACTCCCATTCTTTATTCAGGCCTAATTTGATGGTATCCAGTTTGCAAATTAATTCCAGTTCTGCAGCTTCTCGTTGGAGTCTATTTTTGAAGTTTTTTTTATTGAAGAATTGCCACTTTTAGATCTGTTATTGAGTGACCAGAGAGATTGAAGTGTTCTCCTACTGGTTTTTGAATGTTATGATTCCTGATGTCAGATTTGTTTCCATTTATTCTTTTGCGTAGAGACTGTCTGGTTTGGCCAATGTACGTGGCAGAGAGGCATTGCTGGCACATGATGGCATATATCACATTGGTAGATGTGCAGGTGAACGAGCCCCGGATGGTGTGGCTGATGTGGTTACGTCCTATGATGGTGTCCCTTGAATAGATATGTGTACAGAG